TGTTTGCTTTGAGACAGGGTCTCACACTGTCGCCCAGGGTAGACTACAAATACACAATCATGGCTCATTGCAGCCTCAACCTCCTGGGCTAAAGCAATCCTCCCACCTCAGCCTCCTGAGTAGCTGAGACCACAGGTGAGTGCCACCACTATCAGCTAATTTTCAAATTTTATGTAGAGACAGGCTCTCTTTATGTTCTTCATAGGGATCTCGAACTCCTGGGCTCAAGGGATCTTTCTGCCTCAGCCTCCCAAAGTCCCCGGATTACAGGCATGAGTCACCATATCCAGCCTGCTCTGTTTGCTTTAAACGACTCTTGAAAAATCTAATTAATTTTCAGATAAATTATCTTCAGAGTCCATAGACCACAACTGCTTATGAGTGAATAAGATTTTAATGACAACAAAAATTTAAATTTCAATGTCAAAAGTATAGAAGAAAAGACATCTTTAAGTATAGAAAACCTAAATTCCAGGGTTACAAAAGTTTCAAAAAGAAATGTTCATTTAAAATAGTTTGCTAATTTCATATATGTTGAAAGAAGGAGGAAAGATTACAAAAAAAGTACACAATTCTCCACTCCTTCAACAAAGAGGCAAAGTCTATATCCCCACCTCTTTAATCTGAATTGACCAAAGCCAATGGAACACTAGAAACATGACACAAACAGAGGCTTGAAAAGTGCTTGTGCATTGGGACATATAGTCACCATGTGAACAAGCCCAGTGTAGCCTGCTGGACCATGAGAGACATGTGGCCAAATTATTTCAGCTAACTGCAAGCCATCTGCCAAATACATGAGTAAATACATCCTAGCTATCCAGTCCCGAGCTGAGCCACCAGCTGACCAGAGACACATGAGTGAGCCTAGTCAGTCAAGCATGACCCAGATCAACAGAACTACCAAGCTAATCCAGAGACTCATGAACAATAATGAATTATTGTTGTTTTAAGCCACTAAGGTTTGGGATGGTTTGCTATACAGTAAAACTGTTAAATGATACAGGTAGCATTTTAGCTCAGTAGAAGAATGGAATACACGATAAGCAGGGGCTGAGACAACAAGCTCACCATTTTTGGCAGGGAGATTAGATTCTCACCAAATTGCATAATAAATTCCAGGTGGAGTAAAAAAAGTATATTTAAAGAATCATAGCACAGAAATGTTAGAATAATTTATAAATTGATATTCATATAGTCTTAGCATACATAGGGAAGGATTTCCTAGGCAGAGAAACCTAAAGGAAAAAAATGGATAGATTTAACTATGCAAATGTTTTTTAAACCTCATGTGTCAAAAATACATTACAAATAAAACATAACAGGCAAATGACAAATTGGTAAAACTTTTTTATGTCAGAGATTACATACGTAAATAGGTACCAAGTAGTTACATGCACGATGAAAGTATGATCAAAGATTATCACTCTTAATATGCACAAAATGGTAAGAAAAAGATGAACATGATAGAATATTAAACAAAAGGTGTACATATGTAAATCATAAAAAAGAAATACAAACTGCCAATTAACATGTGAAAAATATGCAGCATCTCTGGTAAGCAACAAAAGGGGTAAGAAGTAAAACAACAATCAAATTACTGTTTCAGTTAAAAATTGTAAAGATGAAAATAAGTAATAATACCTAGGAAAGCAGGCATTTTCATATACTATAGGTTGAGCTACAATCTGGTACAACGTATCTGTAAGGTAATGTGTATGTATGGGTATGCATGTGTATACGTGTGTCTCATAGAGAACACTTTGCCAAAAAATTAAAAGATCCCATCACAGGAGGAAAAAAAAACTTCCAAACAGGTAGCAGATCTAATTTTAAAGTGGTACATTAGGAAAACACTTTTAAAATCCAGTAAAGTCATGCAATGGGGTTATGCCACAGGGACAGGAATGGGCTCTAGCATGGCTTGTTATTTCATGAGCTTGGCTAACCCATCATGTAAATCATGCTCCCTACGTAGGCAAAGCATAAAGATAAGAAAAACACTAAACAGAAGGTATGTGATAATAAGGTATGTGGTATGCTTGTTTGATCCCAGGAGAGTTGTCAAAACGGGATTTTTCTCAATGTTAGACTCAGCATTAAAACTATTATTAAGATTTGTCCTTTAATAAACTGTGATTGTCCATACTACATACAGACTGTCTATATCATAAACTATTATACAACCATTACAAATAGAGAAGTACATCTGTGCACTAATATGCAAAGAGTTCCAGTACATACTTTAGAAGAAAAAGAAAAAAGAGAGCTAGGTTAATACATATAGTATGATACTCTTTATGGAGTTTTTTTTAGCCTGATGAAACAATATTTCATTTCTATATGCCAAAAAAAAGGTGTGGAAAGAAACAAAAACAGTAAGAATGATTACATTTCTGAGCAGATGATAAGGAACCAAGATGGAAAATTTAGCATTATGCACAATGTTATAATTTTCTTTGGGAAATTATATCCATGTGTTAAGTATGTCATTAAAAAATTGACTAAACGGAATTAAAATAGACTTTATTATGCTCAAGAAACTTATTGAACAATCAACACCTCACCCTAATCTATTACAAATACATATATATATATATATATATATATATAAAATAAAATTGAATGGCAAGGTACATAAAAATTAAGTCAAAATCCTTATAGTACTCATATTTTTCCTTCAAATGCTTATTCATTCTTTTCGTTAATCTAAAAGGAATGGGACTTAACAATATACATTCAAGTGAAAAGCCATGGTTTTGATTGTCTTGTCTGTAATATTACAAATCATGGAAAACCTCAACCCTGAGGCTAAGCAGAAAAAATAAAAACCTCTGCACTTTAAATATATAAAAGATGAAGTCTTACTATATAGAAAATCTGGAAAGCATTAAATCAAGCATCCTCTTCAAGTTCCTTTAAATGCCCTCCCACCATTGTGTCTACAAAAAGATACAACATCATTAAAGACAAGGTTGACGATACCTTCAGTCTCAAGTATGGCAGGCAGGTATGGCAGTAGACCTCAGAATGAGACAGAGAAGTGAACAAAGAAATGGGAGAAAGGAAAAGGAAAAGAAGGAAAGAAATAGAAAACAAACCAAAACAAAAAGAGTACTAAAGAGGAAAAGAGGTGTGGAACAGACAGGGCATTGGTGCCTACTGACTGAAGAATCATATAATTACCCCAACACACACACACAAAATTGGCAGTCTATATTTGTGGAAAAAATTTTGTAAATTCCATACATTATGGAATATAATCTTTGTAACAAAAGAGTAGTCATCCCATTTTATGGAACAAAACAGAAGTTCTGGGAGGGTAAGGGAATTGCCAGAAACCACACAGCTAATAAGCAACAACACTGCGGTGTTTGAATTCCAAGCCCAATATTCTTTCCAATATTCCACTGCTACTATAGTCTGTCCTTTAACTTGTTGCTAATTTTCAAATAATTATGATTTTTTTTTTTTTTTAGATGGAATCTTGCTCTGTCACCCAGGCTGAAATGCAATGGTGCAATCTCGGCTCACTGCAACCTCCACCTCCCGGGTTCAACCAACTCCCCTGCCTCAGCCTCCCGAGTAGCCAGGATTACAGGCACCTGCCACCATGCCCAGCTAGTTTTTTGTATTTTCAGTAGGGGCGGTGTTTCACCATATTAGCCAGGATGGTCTTGATGTCCTGACCTCGTGATCCGCCCGCCTCGGCCTCCCAAAGTGCTGGGATTACAGGCGTGAGCCACCACACCTGGTCTAACCAAGAAATTTTTAAGAAACAAATGTATTATGAACAAAAACACAGTAAGCTATTTTTCTGTCCCCTAGGAAAATTAATTCTGAAAACAAAAATCTGATTTGTCCTTTCAAAATCAACAGAATGGAGTGGGGCAGGGGAAAAGGGCAGAAATGTAGTGACAAAGGACCACATGAAGGAGTCCTGTGGTGAAGCGTCTAGAATGTGGTGACAGATGTTGAATCTACACGTGATAAATTGTATACAACTTAATACACACACCCACATAAGTGAGTACCTTAAGTCAGAATAAGACCTGTGGATTTTATTAATATACTGCTTATGGTATTATACCATAGTTTTGCAAAATGTTACCATTGGAAGAAAGCTGTTAAAGGAGACATGAGAGCTCTCTGCATTATTTGTTACAACTACACAGAAATATAGAATTATCTCAATTAAAAACCTCAATTCAAAAAATCAACAGAATATTCATACCAGCAACACTGACTTTGAAACAGGAGAGTAACATTGTGAAGAAATATAGGAATACACAATGTAGTCAGTCAAAGTCTTCATTATAATCATTCAAAGACATTATAGTAGAGCTGGTAGGGGCCTTCTCATGATTTTTAAAAATTATTTTCAAATTTAAAAAATAATTTTTAAGCAAGAGATGATAATTTTGAATAGTTTTTGGAGAAACAGTGCCTTAAGAGTGACAGCCAGATCACCCAGCCATGCAAATGATAAACTATGGATGGAAGGTGATCAAGAAGAAGAAAAAATATGTTTTAAACTAGAACTTTTTGAACTATGCTGCTTAAGAATTCCATCTCAAAATATCAACTGACATAATACTAGAAGTATGAGCCAGTTGCTTGGTAAGACAGTTGGAGAATTATGGTAATAATTACGGAATGCACCAAGAACTGTCTCAAAATACTAATCATAACAGCTACTATTTATCAAGCACATATTATGTGCTTGGCATTGTTCTTGTTGCTTTACATAAAAGATTAAAAATCCTCACAACAACTCTGGGAGGTAATATGTGGAAACTGATGGTGCTCATGTAATTTACCCAAGGTGACACAATTAGCAGCAGAGTTTGACTCTGAACCTAGGTTTTTCTGACTCTAAAGCTTATGTTCCTTAAAGCCCTGGAAATGAGTACCTTATCTTGGATATTCTGGTACATGACTCCAGGGTGACAAAAAAATTATAGCCAGTAATAGAAAACTGTAACTGATATTATACTGACCTGCTTGTAGGTTCCATCTAACAAGGTGTCCAGGTGTTGAAGCGGGGCAGGGGTTTTATCTTTGAATCTTGCTAATAGTCGGCGTTGAATGGCCCGAAATTGTACAGCTCTCTCAGATAAGAGTTCTTCTAATTTTTCACCATTTATCCGTAACTGCAATGAATAATTTCTTAAACTGAGATTAAATGGACACAAAAAACATCTTCAAAGAAAAAATATACACAATGATAATAAAAGAGTAATGAAGAAATCTAAATGTATTATAGAATTAAGGGAATTAAAACAATGTGGTATTTGGTACATGAGTCACTAATTCACAGATGATACAGTGGAACAGATCAAATGGAAACTTTGTAAAAGTTATCCAGTATCACTGGAGGAAAAACAGATCATTTAATAGGTATTTTTCAATAATTGGTCACATGGGAAAAAATAGAAAACTTTTCTCATTCTTTACAGCAAAAGCAATGCAGAGATTAAAAGTTTAGACACAATAAAAGCACTAGGAAAATCAGAATTTTTAAAATAATCTTGGTATAGGAAAGGCCTTTATTAGTGTAAGTCAAAAGCTAAAAGCCACACCCACACACAAACACACAAACACACCCCTGATAAATTACTAGCTAAAAAAACAAAAACATACAATTCTACATGATTTTTAAAAATTATGAAGAAAATAAGACAAACAGCAAACTGCAAAAAGTAACAGCAATAACTACAGAGACAAAGTCATGCCCATATCTAGAAAGCATCTACAAATCAATGAGAAAAAGACCACAATCCAACAGCAATCAGTAGGAAATCAGCAACAACTCAATAGAAAAATGGCCAAAGTTTTACATGAAAGTTAATACAAATAGCTCTTAAACATATAGCATTTGACTGAACAATCCTAATTCTAGTAATGTATCCTAGAGATACGCTTGCAGACAGTAATGTATATATCAGGATATACATTACAAAATTGTTTGATCTATTGTTATCACAGTAAAACATTATTAATAATCAAAATTCCCATCAATAGGGGAACTGGTTAAGGAAGGAAGACTATTCTGCAAGACTACTAGGTGCTGATATGCAATGCTGTGCAAAGACGATAAATGAAACAAAGCAAAATGATACAAAATAGTATGTATAATGTGCTGCCATTATTTTTTATTTAAAAAAAAAGAAACCTATATATTAACATAGTTGTGACTGCATAGGATATTTCTAGAAAGAGATACAAGAAACTGGACACCAAACACTGCCTCCAAAGAAAAGATTGAGTGGCTGGGGAATTAGAATCCTAAATGACTCTCTTCACTGTAACCCATCTCATTTAAATTAATATTGTTAAAATGAAAGAAAGCTAGTTAAAGTCACAGGGTAAAAGGGACACTTCATAAGATCAGGTCACGTGAATCACTAATTCAACTTTACAAAATAGTAATAAACTGGCTGAAATAAATATCATATTAAAAATGCTCAGAAATCAAACATATCATAGACTACATTTCTGATAACAAACTAAATTCTTTACCCTTTCAGTGCATGCATTCTACAATTACATATGAAATAAAAGTAACTTGAAATTTTAACTTTTTTAAATCTGTTTTAGAAGCACTCAGTAGCTAACTAAATCAAAGAATATTCCCTTGAGCAAAAACATACCAAAAATTAAGTAATAAAAATCTTTTTAAATAAAGTTTTTAAAAGAACATTAACCTAATTATCAATAATTCATTCTTCTAACTGTATAATTTACTGCTATAATTTATTTCCTAAATTCTTGATATACCAAAAAATTAAAAAGATATTCTCAGTACTCAGACTATCAACCAGGTTATCATTCCTTTGAAAGTGTAACCAAGCAGCAGTGATTGAAATGTTTTCACATGTCAGAATTTCAATGCTGAACAAATATTTATTGATCCCAGAGCCAAACCCTGGTCCAGGCACTAGAAATTAAAGCAATGAATAATACAGACAAAAATGTCTGCCTTCATGAAGCTTATACTCCCAGGGACACTTGGATTCCAAAACCCATCTGCATTCAAAGTTTAAAATCTTACTAATGGCTGAAAGCAGAGAAAGGAGACAGAGAACAAAAGCAGCATAACCATGCCCCCCTTAATTTATGTGTGTAACAAATGAAAGTGCCTGTTGTTCACCATATTCTCTAAGTCCCTCCTCAGAAAAGACACACCCTTGATGTACAAACTCCAGGGAGTTACTTACTAGCCACAAAGTAAAAAGGGAAAATTATATGTCAAACTTATTAGTCAGTAATATCTAATATTCTCTATTTCAAATATTACAAATATGTAATTAGTATAGTCTTTCCGTGGACCCTTTCACAAATCACTACACTTCAGTTTCCAACAGTGAAGTAAGAATTTCTTAAAATATATCCCAAAGAACTGCAAAGATTCTCATTCCGTATAATACCTAAAAATACTCTTACAGACTGTGTCAATTTTGGTGCTACAATTTGACCAAAGGCATGCGTTCCCAGAAAATAGTGTCATCACAAGTTATCATCATAGATGAGGAATTATGACACAATTATTCATAATTCAATTGTATACACCTGAAATTTTCTTTTTATGTTCACACTACATTAAAGAAGTCTTCACAGCTGAAAAGTCAATGCTTTTAGAATGTTCAATGGTTGACTGAAAAATTATATGACTGGTAATATTCTCTCTCTCTCTCTCTCTCACACACACACACACACACACACACACACACACACACCCCTACACTGAAATGTAGTCCCCCATAAGAACCAATGCTTACTTGGATAATGTTCGAAATTCTCTCAAAACTCCCCTTTTGTATTGCCTAAAGAGTCTGTTCATAGACTATATAAGTAGAGCCTGACAACTTTAATACATGGGACGTTTAAAAAAAACTATGACTGTCACTGTCAAATCCACTGACAAAACAAGTATTTGGCTAGTCCCAAACATCAAATCAGTCTTCAAAAGATGAAGGCATGTCAGCATTGAGATACTCAAGAGAATCTAACACAGGCTCTGAAAGCACTTCCAAAGAAGAAATGCAAAACATTCAGAGCAACAAAGTTACTGTTAGATCTCATTGATTCATATAGTTAATCATTCAGCATTTACCAAGCACCCACTGTGCCAGATACTGGGGAATATTTTAAGTGTTAACCCTCATTCAGATGCAGAAGTTCTGGTATGCTTGTTAAAAATGAAAAAGAAAAATCACTTTACTTTATAATCACACCTCATTTATGGCCTGCTAGAATCAGTTAGCCAAATGGTCTCTGATAAGCTCAAATAGCTTTAACACTGGGTTATTGGGGTCAAGGGTTAAGTCTCCATGTGGGAGAATTAAATCAGCTCTGTTCCAAGGCCAGACGACATGGTTAGCTCCAGGCAGCCACTCTATAAATGTCTGTAATTGATCACAAACTGGGCAAGTGGGCAGGAATGGATTCACAAAATCCACCATTCACATAAGAAAAACGAGAAGCACATAGCCTAATGGCATGTATACAGAACTCTTCTATAGCATCTATTTCTCTTTCATGTATTTGAGGATTATAGATTATGTGGGTTATGATTATACACACCTCAAAATGATGATCAATCAACTCAAAATATTCTTGAAGGGGCATAGATCCAGAAAAAGAACATGCAAAATCTTTGACTCCCTGTTTTTCAAAATATTCTTGAAGGCGAAGAATAAGCTCATTGGTTATGAGCCAAAGATCTTCAAATTGTTCACTCTGAATGCGATATCGTTCTGAGAGAAAAAAATTAAATAAAAATGCTTAGTAACACAGAATTACTAGATAAAGCTACATGAACTATCAATAACTCTGACTTTAAAAGTTCAAAGATTTCATTTTTGTAACAAAGATATGATTCCACTGGCTTTACAAAAACACTTTCACTGCTTCATTGCTCCCTGCATGAACCACTTAATACTTTCAAATCTAATTCCAAAAGTAGGTGGTCACAGTGGCAAACTGTAAAGTATGGTCCTTTTTGTTATGTATCTTATAACAGGTTTCAGTACAATAAAAACACCCAAATTTGGATCCTTTAAAAAGGCCTGTATTTAAAAAGAAAACAGCCATTGCAAGAATACAATTTGTTATCATTAGTATCATTTCAAAATATTAAAGTAAAATAAAATGTATTCTATATAAAATTCAACATCCTGGATACTGTAATCAGCATAATTCATGGTAATCATGATCAAAGTTTTCTATTTTTTAACAGTTCTTTAATTTGAAGAGAAACTTTGCAGTCAGACCCTTTTCTAAATATAAATCTTGTTTCCCTTTATTCCCTGAGACCTCAGGTCTACTACTCCAAGATGACCAATTTCTAGCTATGCTCTACCCTGAAAATGATGACAACAACGGTGACAATGATGCTAAGAGAGGTGGTAATAATACCTATGATAACAACAGCTATTATTTGTTGGGCACAAACTGTGTACCAAGAACTGTGACTACAATAGCCCCTTTTTATACAAAGGAAAATAAAGCACAGAGAGTTTCAGAGACTTGCCAAAGATTAAAAGCAATTAAACGCCAGTGCTAGAATTAATAGTTCATCTCCTTCTGCCTAAATCCTACTTCTTCATCAGGACCTGGCTTTAATCTCATCTACTCAAATCTTGATTTCTCTGATATCCATGGGAGCTCAATCTGTGCCAGCCACATTTTAAGCACTTTACATTCACTTTCTCATTTAAACCCTAACAGCCCTATGAGAGAAACAGTGTTACTAGCCAGTTAGTAACAAGAGCAGGCACTGGGACACTAGATACTAACCTTAACTGCCTCATAAGATTGTGTCTTCCTGAATTTATATAGAGACTTACTATGTCTACAGTTCACTAGGCACTTAACTACCTAAAACCATGCATTCTTATATAACTTCCAAGATTATTACATTTGCTCCCTTTAAAAGAATTAATATTCTTTTTTTTTCTTTTTTTTTTTTTTTTTTGAGACAGGGTCTCACTCTGTTGCCCAGGCTGGAGTGCAGTGGCATGATCTCGGTTCACTGCAACCTCCGCTCCCTGGTTCAAGTGATTCTCATGCCTCAGCCTCCCGAGCAGCTGGGATTATAGGTACCCGCAATGACATACAGCTAATTTTTGTATTTTTAGTAGAGATGGGGTTTCACCACATTGGTCAGGCTGGTCTCGAACTCCTGACCTCGTGGTCCACCCGCCTCAGCCTCCCAAAGTGCTGGGATTACATGTATGAGCCACCACACTGGGTCGGGAATTATACATTTTTTTTTTGAGATCTAGGACTAAGTCCTCTATTTCATTTAATTCACCACTTATTGACCATCTATTATGCAGATGTCATAAAGAGACACACTGGGAGTACAAAGATGAACTAAATCTTCTTGCTTAGGGAATCTAACATCTAGCTAGAGTAGCATGATACATGGACATAGAAAATATTTATTTATGTTCCCCATGGTACCATGGTAAATTTCACAAATGCAATTACTTCTTCAGATTGGTTATTAGGACTTTGATTTGTCATCTCCATCCAGAATTCAATAATATATCTCCTATCATCCCAGTCATTCCCTTTTACAATGGTAAAGAATAAAATATACTAGGTATGCCTGTCACAATCCATGCAAACACACTGGTCTTTGCTGCTGAAGTCATACCCCATTCCCCTTGAAGCTTCACCACCCCTCCCTTCATCCCAGTCTTATTCTGGATGCTGAGTTCTGCCCATAATGCTGATTAGGTGTTTTCCTCAATCAAAGATAATACTTTTTAAAATAAATGCCACCAAATACTTACTTTTTAAAAAAAATGACACTGAAGTGTTAATGCTTTAGAGACAGTACAGTTGCGGCGGCGCAGGGGTAGAGAGGTAGACTGGAGAATAATGATGATAAAGTACCATATAAACCTAGTCTTACCCACACTAAGCTTGAGATCCAACATATTAACTCTAGACTGTATTTATTTACTTTCATTCATTTACATAACTCAGTGCAAGATGCTGGGGATAAAATCAGGAATAAGGGAAGAAGAGCTTCTGCCCTCAGTGAGCTCCCAGGAGACTTGGAAAGAGAGCCTAATAGCAGAAAACTGAACACTGCTTCTGCCATCACTCTTCTGCCATCACTGATTCAGGACCAATCATTAGGGCTAACCATGCCACAGTGGTGCCAGGACTTCTCTCGAAGAAGATATACTACCATTTTCAAGTATAGGAAGGACTATCACATAGCAGAAGAATTAGACAACAGCTAGAGAGATGCAAAGGACACAATTCATGATAAGAACTATATCAACAATGATAGATGTTCACGGCTGCCTCAGGAAAAACTGCCATTGAAAGTGTTTTTCAGGCTCTGAACTCCTGGTCTTTGGTATTTTCTTGAAAGTCCACCTGTGAGTTGCAGAACTTGGTGTGAACGAAAGGTCATTTCATGAGGTACAGACCTGTCTGAGATCCTGTACCAGGATCCTTATCTTTATGTGTGTCTGTCCATCCCGGGCAGCCCACATCTAGGTCCAGGTAACATCCTAGGCTTCTAGGGGGAGCTGAGTTTGGCCAGCTGTATCTCTTTCACAGCTTTGTGATCTCCCAGAACACTGGCTTCAAATCCTGTTGTACCAGGCCTTGTGGTTGTAGCAGATGTAGACGAAAAAGTTGCACACTGCAGTGATCCTGGCCTGAGAAGACAGTGAGATGTGGTAGTGGCTCTCAAAGTCACAAAGCCAGATGTGGTGGTGGTGGCAGGTATGGGCCAAATTGCTCAAGACATATATATTGGCACTGCCACAACTGACCACAGTTACCCTCACTATAGGCAGCTTCTGCAAAGCCACAGTCTTGATGATGAGTGTGTTGTCCCCCACAGAGGCCTACACCAGTGGCAAGAGATTCTGCACTGTGAAGTCCAGGCAGGGCCCATGTCCCCCCACTACACCCTTTGCAGCAAGGAAAAGGTCTTGTCCAGGGTAGGTAATTTCTTCCAGGCTTGGAACTCTTCCAGTAGTGTCACATCCACCTCCTTGTCCAAGGGGAGGGCATGTCTCACAGTGGGGCACAAGGTCAAGGAGAAGGCACTGCTGGTGCTCCTATGTTGGCAGTGGGCCTTGCGGGGCCCACCCTTAATGGGGCTCAGCAGGTGCAGGTGGAGCTTGCAGTTGGGAGAGGCTGGTGTGGACGTGATGACCAGTGTCTTCACGCTGTCATCTCTGCCTGCAACATGGCTATCTTTCCCCAGGCCTCCTCATTCAGCTGTGTTTCTGACACTGCCTACTGCATGTTGGCTTCCCACACCATCTTGTGGGCTTTCTCAAACAGGCTGGCCATCAGCTCCCCCAGCTCCTGCACTAGGAACAGCTGCTCACAGTCTTCGTCCTTCAGCTGCAACTTCTTGTGGGCTTTGTGCCGCTTCTCCTTCAGGAGCTCAGAGCCCATCTTGTGAATTCCTATGGAGATCCTGTAGGAATGAATACCTGCCAAAAGCATTAAAAAGCTTCCACCAGGTTCGTAAGGTTGAACAGGATCCTTTACAACTCCTAGATTTTGAGACTTCTGCTTTAATATGCTCATTTCCTTTCACATATACGTACCTTTAAATAAAACACTTAAAACAATGTTTGACATATTAAGCACTCAATAAATGTTACTTACTGTCATTATTGTTTTCATCACTTTCCCCAATTTGTTGTAAAGGGCAGAGATATCATACATTTCTTTGAACCTACACAGCACCTAGCTAATCAAGTAACTTTCACATAGCAGATACAAAACAAGTATCTTTAATAAAATGTTTTCTTTAGCATAGAATTTACTGTCATTTCAAATAAAGCTGTAAATTGTTACAGAAATTTCACAGTGCTAATTTTTCAAAGAAAATTCAATTCATTCAGTTTCTAGAAGGATTCTGAATAAGCTTCCACATGCAGATAGAAAAAACTTTGGGTTAGCCTAAATATAAGAATAAGAATAAAATTCCTTATATATGAAATAAAATAAAGCTGTAGAGAGGAATTTATTCCATTCAACTATAAATTTTCAATGAAAATGTATTACAAATCTTAAAAAAGATAAACATAAACAACTAGGATTATTATGACATGTTTAAAAGAACTATATCATCTGGCCCCAGAAGTAAAAACACACATATATAATTAAAGGTACCTGAATGAAGTAAAGGAGAAAGCCATGGGGAAATCTATGAGAAGAGCATTGCAAGACAAAGGAACTGTAAGGACAAAGGCACTGAGGCAGAAACGTGTTTATAGAACACAGAGGAGGAACGTAGTATGTCTGAAATGGAGTAAGCAGTTTTTATGCTGCACTATAACAAGACATTACACCAGCTTCTGTTAAATCACCCATGTAGGTATTGCGAAAATATCTGGAAACAAAGCATGTTCAGGTACGTCCAGGCAAGCCTATCCACCATAAGTTAGTCTGAAAATTGATCAGAATTTATCACTGGGGAAAAAACATGGACATGATTCTCAGCAGAACGCCAATAGTATGCCCAAGCTCAGCTGGCCAGAGCTGAGTTCTTGACGAGGAAAGACAAACCCAATTAGGACCGACTCCAACACCTCAGTGAAACTGCTAGGCTGAGTCTTCACTCACAACTTACACTGGGCATGTGTGTTGTATGAAAGAAAATGGGGGATGCTGTGGGCTAACCAAGAAAAGCAGCAGCAGTGCCCCAAGCTCTTCCCCCAGCGAGGTCAAGTGCCTGCCTCAGCTGCCTATGGAGCTCCTT